CCATGTCCATGGGTGAGTGTGCCACAGACTCAATGTGGGAAGGCCAATTCCACTGCTTATGTTCGACTGAGCCTGGTTTACGCCAGGATAGTGCATTAAATTGACATTTGATAGAGAGATGGCCGCACAGCCTTGGCATGTGTGTAGTCCCAAATCATGAATATTACTTCTGTGGCAAAAATGAACTTAATGTCAGCACTTGGAACTTGCACATACAAATAAAAAAGTCTGGAGAGACAACAGTGACATTCAATGTCCGGAACTGTCGCCTGGTACAATAATTTAAAAAAAAAAAAAATATTTAACATAGGACAGTGACAAAATATGGTTGTCATAGCAAAGCAAAAACTTATTTCTTCTCTTAAACTGTTGGATTGTTAACACATTGACAGCCATTTAGCTGTAGTGTATAGAGCACTGTGGTGTTGTCAGTGTGTTACTATATCTATCATCATTGTATGTATTATAGGACATGGTGAGACGATACAGTGAAGAGGCTGCCAAAGCTGCAGAAGATGCAAAGAAGTTCCGGGAAACCAAAATGAAGACACTCAAAGAACAAATGGATCAAATCAAAGCTGAGAAAAAGAAACAAGATGACGAAAGACGAAGAAAGATGCAAGAACAACTCAAGTAAGACAATTAGGTCTAATCACTTGCACACCATTTTTCTTACACTAAAAATTGGTGAAAAGATATGATTTGCGCATTTTTTCTTTGTTAATTTTGGTCTGGAAACAGTATGCAGGTATACTGCCCATGTTTGAGCTCTCTCAGACTATATCTCAAAAATATTTCAATTGAATATTTTTCACACTTAGCTTGAGAGACTGACAATAAATAAAATCACTGTAGAAACATTGTGTCATTAGGTCCATAAGTCATGATTAAGGTAGTTCAAGCCAAATGGTAATTTTGTTCTACTGAGCATATTACAGCACATATGTGCAATGCATTGTGGGTGAGAACTTCCCATTGTATACAGAAAAAATAATTTGCCCATAAAAATTAGACGTGACATTTCAAACTCACATTTCTTACCCAGGTTTAGTACTGTCCATTTACCCCAATTTTTTTTTCCACAATGAAATCATCAAGAAGGTAAAACTAATGGGAAAAACCATGTTTTTGACCATCAATAGATTCACAGAGTGACGTTTTGTACTGAACTATGATGTAAAATGTTGATTTCAATTGTTATCCGCAGAAATATTGAAGATGAATTTGAGAAACAGAGACTCCGAGATGAACAGAGGATAAAGGAACGTGATCTAGAACGTGAACAGTTGAGACAACAACAAAGAGAAGAAAGAGAAAAAAGGCTGAGATCTGACTTAGACAAGGAAACTGATGAATCCAAGAAAAAGGTATTGTCTATATTTTCATTACAGTTGCCGTGGGTTCATAAAAACAACATTTTTTTTTCACACACTGATGATGGACCAATATTTTTAATTGCTTCAGTGATGATGTTTTCATTTTACTTTCAAGAATTCAACTAATCTTGAAGCAATTTGTCAGTAGATGTTTTTGTGATTAGATCATATGGGGGATAGATTTTACAGAAATCACCCCAATCCCACATATCACCCCCTGACCAAACTGTCTTTATACATACTTCAAATAATTATACATCAAATACCGAAACCATAGAATCCATCTGCTGTAGAACGCCGTAGGGACGTGTTGAAAGTGTTATGAATATGTTTGAATGTCTTGAAAAATGTGCAACACGTTTACGTCAAATTCAAACATTTTCCTTTGTCTACATTGAAGCTATATAGCACATAATGGCGAAAAGTATGTACTCAGGCAGCACAGGGTCACGTCTACTTCCTGTACACATCAGTCACTATTATCACTGTACTGCCTTTGTGCGTATTCACAATAATTTCATAATAACCTCGTAATTTAAAACGAACAGAAAATACTTGCCGATCATGAAGCAGCTATGAAAGCTTGGGATGCCAATCAAAAGAAAGAACAAGAGAAACAGAGCAGAGCAACCAGAAAGAAACTGGAAGCCAGAAGAAAGAAGAAAAAGGACAAAGAATTGGCTAAAATAAATGAAAAAAACAACATGGGGAATGAAGTGACTGAGAGACAAGTAACCGACCAACTTAATATCCTGCAAGCTCGTGGTAAGAAGATATTATTGCTTAATGAACTGTTTTTGTATTAATGACAAGTTGTATAACATTTAGTGCCAATTTCAATGCCACTTGTATTGACCATGCAGTGAATAGTTGTCCAAGATGACATGTTTCCTTAATTTCTGCAGGATAATAATTGTAAATTGATAAAAGTAAACTTTGCTGACATATGCCCCCTAACATTAGAGGAAATGTTATCCACTGCAAAAGCTCATGCCCATATTTGGCTGTAATTTCTATTGAAATATTGACCCAGAGCATTGTTGACCGAGGCCAAGTCGAGATCAACAATACTCAACAACAATATTGTATTATTAAGGTAGAAGCCTACTCATGATTTCAAAAACCCAGAATTTCTTAATTTTTTAATAAATTGTACTTCCAGGCAATATAAGAATATTGACTTTGAAAAAAATGGGGGTCACCAGGTTAATTTTCGAGAAAATCATGGTTGTATTTTAGTGGATAGCGGCCATTTTGGCAGTATTATAGTGCTTTTACCATAGGTTCCTATGGCAGAGATATTATGCCATATCTCAAATTGTAGGCTGGTGACATAGGCTGAAAAAATAATATATTGTTAATGATGGCCTACTTTTTGTTTTCCCGAATTTTTTCAAAAATCTGGGTTTTAAAAAGTGTTGAAAAATGCAATTTTTGTTTAACATTGCGCTCTATGGAATTGTTCTAAAAATAGCTATTTCTGAAAAAAATGTAGTACTAGTTTCTCAAAATACGTCACTGTAACACACAATAGAATGCTATTTTATGGTGCCATGGGACAATAGCTTAATGATTTTACATAATAAACCAATGAACATTGTCATGTGATTTATGAACAAATTTCTCAACAAATATGAGTAGGCTTCTACCTTAATATACCGAATAAAACAAACATTTTGTAAAAGGCTGTATCGTGTAAAATACTTCCTGCCCATGTTTTCAATGACAACATCCAAAATGTTCTCCGCTGTTTGTTTCATCACACTTCCAATGATTTGTATGTATTTATATTCCATAATCCCTTCTGAAATTACTGTTACATTTAAAATTTTTGTATGTATCAACTAGCTATGGATGAATGTCAAACATTTCAGAAGCTGCGAAGTTTATACATGCAGCGTGCGCACACAAAGAATAACAGTACACTACACTGAGGGGGGTCACACTGAGGGGGGGGGTCAATCAGACCCTGATTAGATCTAAATGAAACATTATATAACAACATGTTTCTGGTTGAATGAACAATTGAATGAAACCCACTTGTATGTAATTACAAAGTTATGGCTATGCATGTCAGAACTTGTCACTCAGCAGCAAATTTATTTGTTAACCTGTCATGAAATGTGGTTTTAAAATCTTGATACAGAAGGTGCTCGGCACAACAGATGGACTCTAAAACCCTAAAAACTCAACCAAATCTACAGAAATTGTCAGCTATTTGCAAACAACTTATAACATCGAATATTGTAATTGTTGCGGTGGAATTATGGCATGTGTTAATTCATATATGGTTACAGTATAATACAACTTCAACATGAATTTTAGGAGAAATTCACAGAATATCATATGCTAGTTTCTATGGTAACACTTGATTATGATGTTGATATTTGTAGATGCTGCTGATTTGAACAGTCATAACAATGACTCTCTACGTCTCGATGATCCCTCACTTTGGAATAAAGGCACAGCAAGCACAGAGTCTGGATTACCATCTGGGGTAGAAGATGGTTGGATGGCAGCTTTGATGAATTCACCACTTTATCAACAATTAACAGAAATGGAAGAGATGCTGAGAAGGAATGCAGCTGATGGATCCGGCGCCGGAATGTTAGGATCCGGTGTCTATGGTAATGTCCTAATTTATGTACATGTACAGGGAAAGGAACATCTTATGTAAATATGTGCTTGGTACAGTTATTGGTGCACTTGATACTTACACAAATGTTCTGGCCCAATCCTTAGTGCTGGCTGCTCACTCAGTAGTAAACGGACCAGACCACCAAATATTTTTGGGTGAATAATGTCCTACTGGATAGAACAATAAAAAGTCAGTTATATGTGATGTTTTAAATATATGGGCAAGGTGATTTGTTTATGGCCATGAAATTTTTGTTGAAAAAGTCACATACAATGCTTTACTCATCGTTTATGTTCAAGGGTGGATGGAAGAGGATTTTTCAATGGCTATGCCACTTATCATGCCATTTTATAGATTGTAAGAAATTAACTCCCCATGATGCTCTGCTTCATTTATCTTTTTTACCTTCGCTGTTGACTTTGTCTAGTGTAGCTTATCATAAGAGTGATTGTTTGTTGTCCGTGTCAACTTTTTACTTTTTCAACTTCTTCTTGAAAACAACAAGCCTGATTGATTTGATACTTGGCGTATATGTACATTGAGTATACCTCTCTCAGATTTGTTCATTTCGTGATGATATCTTTAATTTTCTAATTTTGGTGAATATTTTTATCATTGATGAAAACCTCAAGTCCGATTGCTTTGATTTACGTATAGTTACCTCAGGTGGACCTCTCTCATATTTGTTCATTTCATGATGATATCTTCAATTCTCTAAATTAGATTTATTTAATATTTTTGGTAAAAAGTGATATTTATATTATACATAATGCTACTACAGGTTGACCGACCTCAGATTTGTTCATTTTAAGATATATCTTAAATTCTTTAATAGAAATGTGCAAATATTAGAAGAAGTTTTGGCCAAAAGTTCCTTTCGAAATGATTGATACCAATTACCAAGCACTAAGATCACCCACCGTACTACCATTTTCTATATTATACTTATAAGTTCTAGAAGCTTTCTTGAATTTTAAAATTTCAAAAAGTAGGAGAATTCCATGTGCTGGGGAAATGTTAAAGAATACGATTGATGCATACACAATCACCATTTTAACTTTGTACATATTTTTCAGTATGGTCAAAATAGTTCCTACTATTAAACTAAATATATTGTGTTTTGTAGGTGCTGGAAGTGATCCATTTATTGATGTGAAAGATGCTCAGTGGTTGTGTGGTGGTGAACTAACACCAGTCGATATCAACAGCATTACACCAAGCCAGTTTGTCATCTACCGATTTGGTGTCTTCCTTCTACGCTTGCTTCATAACGTCATCCGTACTCCAGACGTCACACTCCTACTTGCATCCAACTTACCACAGAATAACTATGAAAGGAATATGTTCCGTAATTCTTTCTTTTACCAACATGCAAACAACATCTTGTTCATCAGACAGGAGAGATTGGAGTCTGTTGGTGAATTTATCATGGTTGTACTGCATTGTATTGCGCATATCAAAGTGGGTGATCTCGTCAATGATGCTAATCCGTTATTTATGAGAGAATTTTTCCGTGTAAGTAAAAAAAAGCATGTAAGGCACTTTTCTTCAAAATGGAGATTTATCTCAAAATTTTCACAATTTATTATCAACTTTGATGCTTTATTTTAACAGAACTCCCAATAAATTTGTGTATTGTTACATATTAAAAAGATAATTACAATTAATGTGTCTAAGGAATGTTTACAATGTTGCAAAATGAACTGAGGGTACTGTAAAATTGTTATAAATTCACTAGTGAAGTTGGAAACTAATTACAGAAGTGTATGACAATTTGAGGCAACATTTTCATTCAAAGTTTTGTTGTAATTGCTTTTATGATGTTTGTGTGGACAGGATCTCTCTAAATTCTTTAGAACTCCAGTGAAAACCTGGCCAATAATTCTATAATATTAATGGACAATTAATGGTTATGGCAAAAATCAATTTGTTTTAACCACCATGTGATCATTATTCAACAAATAACCATCAAATCCATTACCACACCATAACTTCTGACTGTACTTGACTTGTCGTGTTTTTTTGTTCAGGCTATGAATATTGTTTGTCAAGACATGTTCTTTGCACGTTCCCGTACCACATCCGCTACTGGGCGTCTCACTGGTATACCAACTACATCGGGTAAGACAGCCCTGGAAACTGCTTTCAGACATACCAAATCATCAGATGATAAAACTACAGTTGTTGGTGAACTTGTCAATGTCAAGGTGAAATTACCGACAGAAACTACATTCGAACGTGAGGTAGGTGTTGTTCTCTTTAAAAGTGGTGTTGTTGTCTGTTCATGTGTTTAACCTATTTGTAACAGTTCTATATGCTACACAGCCAGCAATTTCACAGGGAATAACTAAAATTTAGTCTTCATTGGACACTGTTTAAAAATGGAACTTGTGTGTTTTTTTTGCTGTGTGTCACTTTAACTTAATTTCTCAGATATGGCACTATGTGAATAAATATCCCTATAAATATACTGCTTAATAAATCATGATATTGTACTTTTTATTTGAAACAAAGAAAAAAGGGGAGGAATTGTGCCTGCTGTGCAATATATTATTCATGCATTCGCAGATCAACTGTCTTTTAACACAAATAATAATTAATAATGTTATTGTATTCTGTGATCTGCATCTACAAATCACCAGAGTAACTAACATTTCATAAACATATTTGCCCAATTTTCTTATTCAGAATATTAATGAGCGTTCAGCTACCCATCAACAAGCGAACACGTATTCCAAATTACGGGAATTCCTGTCCAATCATGGTGGAGCCAAAATGAACTCTGATGTTGTAGGTGGACGATTACAGGAACTCAGAGGTCAAAAACCAAGTAAAGAACAAGCTAAAAGGTAAGCCGTCAATAATACATCTTGAGATTTTTTAATTTCATGAATTTTTCTATGGTCATAATGTAGGGGAATATGGAAGTAATTTCAGAAAATGTTTACTAAATTAGAGTTTGCAATCATGTCTGTTTATTATGTTGATCACTATTATATCACTAAGTACGAGTATATTTATTATTGTATGTTTCCCTGCTTTCATATCCAGGTTGTAAAAACCATGTGCCAATCTTGTTCTATCATGGACCAATCATAAAACTTCTGTGGCAGTCATGTGTCAGTTTTGTTGTCATGT